GCTACTCGTCCTTCGGTTAGTACTCACTCGCTGCATCCAGCCTCGTTTGATAGGCATAGGTGTTGCACGCTCCCACCTTCTCACTAAATTCCAACATCCATGTGCTATTTCATCATGGCGGGGGGGCCCCCCCCTCTATCCTAATACCAATACCATGCCTGACACGAGCAAATAGTGAATGGTTGTTGAATGAATGGTTTGTTTGTTTTTTAATGAATGGCTTTTATATATGAGGGTGGGCCCAAAAGCATCATTGCTAGAGTTCCCCCTCACACACACAAGATTATTCCCAACAAAACGTGTCTAACCGTGTCCCTGCAGTCAGTGGGTGTCTGCAGACAAGGTGGCTCATTAAGACACTTGTCTTAGTTGCATTAGGGAACCTTCAGGAAAAAGTCCCATCAAGGCAGTGGCCTCCCAAGGGATTTGCTGGACCAGTTATGTTCAAGGACGAGAGGTCAGTCTTGGCTAAGGCAGTTATGGTGACTGTTTATTGAGATTTTCAAGGGTCATCTTGATCGATTTTCTCAAAGGACACAGGACAGTGACGGGGACTTATTAGGAAGAAATTTTTAAAGACTCGACAGCTCCATTGGTAAGAAAAAGCCAGACGAGTTGTACCAAAGTTGTTTTTATCATAAGGCACCTGTTCCTCCTTCAAGGTTAGCAGGGGCTATCCTTGGCGAAGTTCTGTGAGAAATTTCACCCCATCCACCCCCTACGGACTTGGTTCTGTTCCCCAAACTCAAAGAACATTGAGAAGCCCGACTGGAGCCCCTCCGGGCTGCCGAAACTGCCCTGTTGACACGACATAAATGGAAGAGGTGGGGAGGGTTCTAGGGGAGAATTACAGAGATGAAAGCAGACTTCAGAAGTGGATAGATCTCAATGGGAGGCGTGTTGAGAGAGCACTGCACACGTTGATATTGTTTCGTAATAGCACCTGTGCTGTTGTTGCAGTACTTTTGGAAGTATCCTCCTAGAGCAGAGAAAAGGATCCAAGCTCTAAAGGAAACAATTTCCAAAAACCTTCTCTCTGTCAGAGGCCCTGCACTGGGGACCCAGCCCATCCAAACTCTGTGCTCCAGCTGCAGCTCCACCCTCTTCTTCGGGGCCTTTCTGCCCCCACGGTCCCCACGGAGGACTGTCAGCTGCCTTCCCTCCCTAGAGTGACTTCCCCTCAAAGTCTCCATTGACAACACATTACGGAGATACTTAAGTAGTTAATGTATGTTTTCGGCCCTGGGGCCCTGGTGGCATGGTAGTTATGCTCAGCGGTTCCAAACCATCCATTTCTACTCTTGTAAAGTGTCAGACGCTTAGGAACCCGCAGAGGCAGCTCTACAGCGTCCTGCAGGGTCACCATGAGTCAGAATTGACTCGCTGGCAGTGAGCGTGGCTTTTTGATTTGATTCTGCCACTTGGTGAGATGGTAAGACCAGTGCCTTCCTTACCTATCTCCTCTTCCCATCGAGTACAGTATGGCTAGGGCCTCACTTCTTATTTTACCAAAAATAAAGGAAGGCTTAACTCTAGTGGAAGCCCACATCTGGACTAATCAGAGCAGCCTGCTCAAAGCCGCAGTTGTGGGGGTGGGAGATGGGGAGCAGGGTGTGTGTGTGTGTCTGTGGTGGGACAGTTTAATTCAGAAGTGTCTCATCTGTTTCACAAGGCCTGGCTGGTTGTCAACCAGGCCACAAAGAGAGCTCCTGCTTTTTATCAGAGAACCCTAACCCTTCCAGGGCCCTAAAGCTGCCTCTCTCCAACCTGGCCAACTGCCCCCACCCATATCTGGCTGGGGGTGGGGGGTGTCTATTTTCCTCTTCTCCAAAGCCGAGATTAGAGCGAGACGTTTTTGGTAAGGATCTTTAAAACTCATGACTTCCCCAGGAGGCCAGGAGACTCCTCCCGCGCGCTCTTCCTCTACTCCTTCCTCTAGTGCTTCCACTGGGACTGGCTGACCCTGGCTCCTCCCCGCCTGCTCTTCGGCCCGGGACTCACAGGTGGCCTGCTTCATCCCCAGGGTCCGTCACGCCGGCAGTGGGCGGGTCCTGGAAGTGTACACCACCCAGCCGGGTGTCCAGTTTTATACAGGCAACTTCCTGGATGGCACACTCAAGGGGAAGAGTGGAGCCATCTACCCCAAGCACAGCGGCTTCTGCCTGGAGACCCAGAATTGGCCCAACGCTGTCAATCAGGTAAGGCCACTGCCTGGCTTGTGTCCAAGGTCAAACTACATCACAGAGGTCACCCTGACCAAGCCCTGTCCCTGTGATTCATAGACTCCTGTTAGTTGACTTCATAAGACAGGCTAAACACAGGGAACCCTCCACCTTACTAACATTCTTTAAATTTAAAAATATTTTGAACTTCAAAGCCTTTATCTAATTGAAGGCTTCTTTTCATTAATACCTGGTCATTTTCTGCACTGGTCATTTTAACATGATTCTTCATATCTTCTCTTCCTATTTGCTCTCTCTCCTAACTTTCTCTCCTACCTTTTTTGACTAGAATCAGACTCCACAAACGAGCCCTGGTGGCGAGGTGGGTTATGTGTTGGGCTGCTAACTACAAGGTCAGCAGTTCGAACCACCAAGCTGCTCTGCAGGAAAAAGATGAGGCTTTCTACTCCAATAAGGAGTTAGTCTCGGAACCCCACGGGGCCTGTTCTAATCTGTTCTACTCCAAGTTCCACTCTCACTGTAGGTCGAAATCAACTTGATGGCAGCGAGTTTGGTTGGGTTTAATGCGCCACAAAGCATGAGTCCATGATAAGAACCAATATGTAAGCCAACACGCTGCTTCATCAAGAAAGTCTTGCTTGGTGGTGAGGTTTATTTTCTTTCGGACTCAAGCTGTCTCTGTCCTGTACCAGCGCCTGCGCTAGAGAACGCTGATCTAGAATCCAGCCCAGTCCCGTCCAGGAGCATGTCTTACATTCCTGAACAGCCGAAGCTCAGACCTGAGCTGGCCGAGTGTAACTTGTGCCATATCTCCTTCACAGCCCCACTTCCCTCCTGTGCTGCTGAGACCTGGGGAGGAGTACGACCACACCACCTGGTTCAGGTTTTCTGTGGCTTAAAGAAGCAGGAAGATATGACCCGTGCCGGGGCCCAGCTAGGAACTCCCTGGGCCGTTTGTTTCCTGTGCAGAGACGAGGCAAGAATGTAGGCCTTTGCGATGACCCTGCGATCAAAATCAGCTAATTGGTCTGAATATTGATTTCCTAAGAACTCTTCCAATGATTAACTCCCTCCTGTGTCTAAGGATCGCTTCTGTGTGGTTGAGACAAGGGCACCCAGCCAACATGTCCTCGTCTGAGCCTTCCCCCACGCCCAGAAATGGCACCCCGCGCTCTCACCCGCAGAGGCAGCTGTTGTTGCTCCCATCACACCACCCCTGTCTTCTCCACTTTTCTCCCTTCCCTTCGCCTCCACCTCAGACTACCTTAGTCATGTACCGGGTTCTCAAATGTCACATGAGCTCATTCAGCATGCGGCAGATGGGCTTCTCGGCCTGTAGCACGAGATGACATGCGTGATGGACAGGAGAGCTTAGACAGGTTAAGTAACCCACCTGTAGGTCTCAACTGGCCTGAACTTGAGCTCAGGCCATATGAATTCAGGCCCCCTCCTTTCCTGCTCCTCCCCCTCCTCCTCGGTCTGCTCTATGGGCCCCAAAGAGAGGTGTGACCCCTTCCCTGGTTGGGGGAGCCAGGCTTTCTTCCCAGATCCACTGCTACAAGAACCAATAGGTTGAGGTTCACTGTCTCTGTACCCCAGAGGTGATGTCACTTAAAGCACACAGCCACTCTTGTCGCTTAGATTCTCTCCCTTGGTGCTTAGCTAAGAAAGCCCAGCCCAGGATAGGTGTGGAGAGAGGGGAGCCATTGGAGATGGGAGTGAGGTGCATGCCCTTTGCCTATGAAATGCTGTGAGCATCACATACTGCGCTGCTAGGAGCATGTGCTATATGATGTAGGCCAGGTGGGAGCAGATTCCTTCCCTGGACAATCCAATCAGTGACGGGGTTGCGTTAGTGATTGTTAAGGAAGTGTGTTGAAATAAAACCCAAAGCTGCACTTTCAGAAGACTTTGACTCATTTTCTAATTTTCATGACGTCTTTCAAATCTTCCTTGACTCATTTTCAAATCTGCAGCCATTGGCCTTTGGGAAATGGACGGAGTGCACAGTGTGTTCTGGGTTCTACTGTGATCTCCATCCAGCACTGTCCTTGAGGAAAGCTAACTGGAAGTCCCCTCGGCCTAGCTGAGCCTCCCCATACTTCCTTCTTAGCATCCAGGAATAAATCACATATATTCTTGGCTCACTCATTTCAGCCTGGATTCTCTGAGTCCCTACTGAGTACACAGTCCACCGCCAGCTCTCTTCAGGCACTCGGGGGAGATCACGTGTGAGTTACAGCGCTTCCCCCTCAGAATTGAGCCGTCTCTCTGAGGGGGGGAATGACTAACAAATGTGAAACGTAGCCAGCAATGTAGCATTGTACCAAGGCAGAGATAGAAGCCCTTAGCACTAAGTGGGCAGTGCCGTTCACTACATCGGAACCTTGGGCCATCAACCAGAATTCACTTGGCCTCAGTCCTCTGACCTGTAAAACACCAGGGTTTGATTTTCATTACCTGGAGGGTGAAAGAGTGCATCGTCTAACGCTAAAGCCAGGGTGAAGTTCTTTTCCTCAGGCCCTGTTGGGACTGCTGGGACTACACAGTTAAATCGCTACTCCTTTACCATCTTAACCAAGTGCCCCTTCCTGAATGACTCATTTCCACTGGATGACAGACTGCCGGGCATGTTTTGACAAGGTTATTACATTTAACCTTTTACAACCTTTGGATTATAGGTGATGAAATTCTCACTAGAAAGGTCACTGGCCACAGTTACACTTTGTAAAGTAGCCAGTATATGTTCCGTACCACACTCCAAAGGGCTCACTTTATCTTCTACAGAGGGAAAAAATCTAAGATTGTACACAGGAATGGTAAATGGAGAATTTTCACGAAATCGCCAGGGGCAGCATAGTAAATGAAAACAACTTATTTGGGAGGGAAGTTTGGAAGGATCTATCAATATTGGCAAACATACAAAATCCATGACCTGATCATTCCACTTGTAGACATCTCTTCCCTAAAAATACTAGCGTAAATGTGTAAAGACAGACCTCCAAACAGGTGCTCACTACAACGGGTTCAGCAAGAGCCCTCGTAGCACAGAGTAGTTAGGCATTTGGCTGCTGTTAGGTCAGCAGTTCAAAACCACCAGCCTGTCCAAGGGAGAAAAACTGCTCCCTTCTTGGAAACCCGCAGGGCCTGCCCTCTAGGGGCACTGGGAGTTGGAATCAACTTGGTAGCAGTGGGTTTGGTCTCTGTATCAATGCCACTTGTTTGTGACATTGGTTACTTTTTTCAATCCAAAAAAAAAAAAGCCTAGAATAAAAATAGAACAAATGAAGAATGGGTTAAGAAGGAAACAAATGTTAAATTTTAACCTAGCTATTGTTGTTATTGTTAGGTGCCACTGAATTGACTCTGACCCACAGCGACTCTGGGCACAACTGCGGGAATCACTGTGCGGTCCTGCCCCACCCTCACAGTTGCTGTGCCGGAGCCCATTGACGCAGCCACTGTCCGTCTATCCCAGGGAGGGGCGTCCTCTTTTCCACTACCCTTCCACGTTACCAAACATGCTGTGCTTCTCCAGGGACCTCTCACTACAACCAAACCAGACTCACTGCCGTCAAGTCGATGCCTGCGCTCAGTGATCCGGCTGTGGGTTTCTGAGACGGAACTCTTTACAGGACTAGAAAGCCCATTTTTCTCCTGCTGAGTGGCTGGTGGTTTCAAAATGCAGACCATTCGGATCGCAGCCAAATGCACAACCACTGCGCCAAACCTAACTATCTCGGCAACAATTCCCTTTTCGCTGCACTCTGTCTGTGGGCAAGGCTTTTCACATTCCCGGTCAGGGGCCCGAGGGTGTTTCTTTGCAGGCTTAGCCGTCACCTCACTTGGATGGCTGCTTATTTTAAGAGAAGCTTTCAAGACCCTAGACACTACTCTGACCGTCGAGCAGCACCTGATTTCACCAAACTTCGCATAGCCCCCTTACCGTCAACGATCCTTTTGTGAATTGTTGTGGTTCAGTGCCATCAAGTTGGTGGCCCCAGCTCACAGCAACACTGGGCCGCAGAACCAAACCTGCTAGCTCCTGCACCATGCTCACCATTTGTTTAATGTTTGAGCCCAGTGGCCACTGTGTCAATCCATCTTGTTCAGGGCCTCGCCTCCCTCTTTCAGTGCCCCTCTATTTTACCAAACATGGTGTCCTTCTCCAGGGCCTGGTCTCTCTTGACAACATGTTTAAAGTACGTGAGACGAAGCCTCCCCTCCCCATCCTTGCTTCTAAGGATGTACATGTACCAACACAGATCTGTCTGCCCTTTTAGCAGTTTACGGTACTTTCAATATTCCTCACCAGCGCCATAATTCAAATGCATCAATTCTTCTTTGATCTTTATTCATTGTCCAACTTTTACATGCATATGAGGCGACTGATTACAATCTGAATTTTGACCTAATTTTTAATGAAAAATTGGAAACTACCTAATGACATGATACTAGAGTGGATAAAGGATAACTCATGCAATGGGTACTGCCTGAATACTGAGAAGGATGAGATTAAATTATATATATACAGGTTCTGCTTTCAGAACCAAAAATTATTTGTAAAATCTGAAAGAGCACACCAAATTACCAACTCTAGAAAGAATTTAGAGAAGAACTCTCATGTTTTACTTCAATGATACTGAGTTGTCAAAAACAAGCATCATTCTTTTCTAATAACAACGTATTAAAAAAAAAACACTGACATTGCCAAAAAGAAGATTGGGTAAAGGAGTCAATTTCATCTTTTTTTCCCCTCAAAAATTTCAAACTTAAGAAAAATTGCCGATAGTTTTAAAACCTTCTCTGTAGCCTTCACTCCAAGATCCTATTTCATTTCCACCACCTGTCTCAAAACATATTTCTTGGGCAAAGGAGCCAATCCAGGACCACACATTATCTCTGTTTCTGCAGTCTCCAACCGAGCTCAAGCTCCATTCCCCAGCACCCCCTTGGTGTTTGTTTTTTTCAATCATTTTATTAGGGCTCATACAACTCATCACAATCCATACACACAATTGTGTAAAGCACATTTGTACATTCATTGCCCTCATCATTCTCAAAACACCCACTCTCCACCTAAGCCCCAGGCATCAGCTCATTTTTCCCCTCCCTCCCCGCTCCCCCATGAACCCTTGATAATTTATAAATTTTGGTCATAGCTTGCCCTGTCTGACGTCTCCCTTCACCAACTTTTCTGTTGTCCGCCCCCAGGGAGGAGGTCACATGTAGATCCTTGTAATCGGTTCCCCCTTTCCAACCCACTCTCCCTCTACCCTCCCAGTATTGCCACTCACACCACTGGTCCTAAAGGGATCATCCACCCTGGATTCCCCCCTTGATGTTTATGATCTGCATATTTCTGAGGGTTGCAGAAAAGTTATGTTTTAGAACACTCCTGTGGCAGTTACATAATCTCCTGTCAACTTGCAAAGGTGTGGAGTCTAGCCTGTCAATCATGTTGCAACTTGAGTGTGTCTGCCCTGGAGCTGGAGGAGCCACTTAGAGACCCACGCCAGTGCTGAGATGCTTCCATTACCACTGGTCCCACAAGACTTTCCACCCACTGGCCTGTGATCTTCCCACATTCGGCATCATTACATGGCTGCATGAGTCTGAAGAGGACTTTTTGGACTAGTATCCACATGTGGGGTAATATCAGACTTATGGACTTGATCTGGACTGGGCTGGGATGTTTTCTTAAAGTACAATTGCTCTTTGATAGAGAGTTCTCTCTTACACGAGTGTCTGAATTTGTTTCTGTAGTCAACCCAGACTAACGCAGCTCCCTTCTGGTGGGACTCCTTTTCTGATTCCTCGTCTATATTCAAATATCATAGAAGTGCCCTGCTTTGCACATTGCAGCGCAACAGATGGTACACAAGATCAGTTTGCCCCAACTGGCGAGGTTGCCTTTGTTCCCTGGGGGTAAAGTGCTATGCCGCCAGGTTTCTCCACTCTAAACCTAAGTATACAATACGTTAGCCATGGGTCTCCAAGGTAAAATATGAATTTGGTCACCTAAGAGTTTGTTACAATTAATTTCTCAATGCAAAATGATATTTAAGAAACCCCAGAGAAGAAAAAACAACAAGGAAGTTAGGTAACTGCTGCCGTTCAGATGAAAAGAATGGGAGCCTGGGAGGGGGTTCCCCATTTCCCGCCCATCCCCAGCTCAGTCATTGTGCAATTCCGGCAGGTGGGGGAGAGAATGGAGAGTGAGCAACTGTCTTGGTTGAAAGTGAGTCACTCCATTTGCAGTGGTGGGTGACACCCATCAGAAGTGATGGGGTCAGTGCCAGGAAAGCAAAGGGAGCTCTGGGGCCTGGGGTTGGAGCTGGGCCTGTGGCAAGTATCCTTCTGACTGATCAGAGCCAAACGCATGCGCAGCAGAGGCCAGAGAAGGCCACCGCTAGGCACACCCTCCTAGTCAGCTCAAAGACCACCCGCTGCACAGAGACCTGAAAGGGCTCGGCAAAGAGATGCAACCAATGCAGACCTGAAAACTACCTGTACATGAATCCACTCCCCTACAGAGACATCAGCTCCTCTGGGGGCCTCGTGGGTTAGGAGTTGGGCTGTTGACCACAAGAGGTCAGCCGTTTGAAACCACTAGCCCCTCTGCAGGAGAAAGAGCACGGGGTCTACTCCTATAAACATTTACAGCCTAGGAAAACCCACAGGGGTAGGTCTACCCTGTCCTACAGGGTTGCTGAGAGCTGGAACCGACTCAGTGGCAGTGAGTGAGTTTACCTAAACAAATCTCTCAGTAGAGGGCATTACTCTGTCTAGTGATTGGATGACCATTGAGGTATTCAGATACAGGGCACTTTTCTAGAAAACTGCTGAAAAAATAAGAATGTTAAAAAATGAAGGGTCACCCCAACAACAACAAAAAAATGAA